GATAGCTTGGAAACGGGCTTCTCGACGTTGGTCTCTTAAGAACAACGGGAGGTTCATTAATATAATGCGGCGATCCTAATCGCCGTCCATCGTGTCGGAACTAGTTTAAGTATCCCGTTCGCGCCCGCGCCATCGACGCGAAGCGATGAATCGATGGAGCCTCGTCGCGCGGGGTCGTGAAATTTAATCGGTCGAAAAGTTCTTAACGGCCTTTCGAGACTTTAGCTCCTCGACGCCGTCGCGATAGATCCGATCGAACGAAACGCGGGTAAAGTGGATGAAAGAAGAAGCCGCCGATAGCTCAATTGCGTTTTCGCTTTTTAACACCTCGGAAGCTCGACGCAGAATTTGTCATAATGGTATTTTGTCTCATTGTTCGTTGTAAATTATAACCTATTTATCGTCATTAAAATTGTCCTTGTTGCCTCACTATACAATAATAACTGTAGAAAAAGTAAGGAAATTTAAAATTAAAAAAAAACAAACATAAAAGATGCATTTTTTTACGAGTGCATTCAGTGCGGCAGCGGCTTGTGCCGGTTTCTATATCTTCAGATGAGAGCAATCACCAAGCTCCGCTGTATTTGCATATTAAGTAACTCACTGAATGCTAACTTGGACATCGCTCAATAAAATACGCGCAAAGGGGCTCCCCCTTTGAGTCGGCTTTGAGTGTCGCGCGGGGAATCCGTGTCGCCGTGTGTAACTAAAGTTGGCTACCGCATCTGCCGACGCTATTTTATAAATATTTATGCCCACGCAAGCCTGATATATTTAGTCGTCGGCGTAGCCGGTGCCGCGGAATCGCGGAATGACAGCGGGCAATAATTTCCCCGTGGCACGGTATTTTTAGCGGGGTTTCGACTTTTTCCCGGTATCCCGCTTCTGCCGTCGTCGACACTTACCGACTCCTCGTTTTTCGCCGCCCGGTACGTGTACGTGCGCGCGCATGTTTGTTTGACATCGCGCGGCGGCTAAATAATTATGATAATTACGCCGTCGCCGCTCTGCTGATGGAGATTTTAGCGTGATGTCTGGTTTCGCGCGTTATTTACATAATTACAAGCGTACTCCGGCCACTCCGGTGAGATTCCGCGACTGAGTAACGCGGATTCGTGTCTGATAATTAATTGCTATCGAGACGATGACGGTAGATGTAATAAAACGTATCTCCGATAATGAGGTATATCATCATTTTGCGTAGAACGGTGGCGCCAGCTAATTGTGGAGATAATTGGACGAATTTTACGCGAAAAAAAGAAGAAATATCTCTGTTGCAAAAATGAGAAATACGGCTCCGAAAATTTCCTTAGGGGATAGAATTGTGATAAGAATCTTTTTCTGTCATGATTGCACTTGCAGTGTAATAATACAATTCTTAACATAATCCAGTTTGATGTAGTAACAGTAAAAAATATATTTTTAAATATATGAATATATTGATAAAATATAAATTCAGTATATGTGCGTTTTTCATTATAAGATAAAAAAATATATTATAAAATACAATACATTTGAAGAGTTTATACGAGTACTGCGTACGCTATAAAATAATTCGGTAAATTTACACAAATAATAGATGTAGAATTACAGAATTAATTCACAAAATCGTGTAACTTTACAAAATTACGTATTTTTATTTTTTATTGCGCAAATATATCTTTATTTTATGTGGAAAACTACACTGCGATGGCATATTCTACAAATCTTATGTAAATATGCAAATTTTTATAATGTATTACACAGTATAACAGTAATACATATAATTACATTTTTACAAATAAAATAAATTATGTGTATAATTCGTTTGGCTTACTTATGATGCATCATTAATTTGAAAATAGGAACTGATCTTTGGACAGAGTACAAACTATTGATGTAAAACATAATTATATGATATACTTATATATAGAATAACTATAAATTTACTCATGCAACTTATGCCACACATATTACTGTATCACAACAATAGAAATTAATTTTGTTCTCAAGCTACAAATTTACATACATACGGAAATTTATACTTACAATAATTGGTTCCAAAATTATCTATTGTAATAGCGTTTATTTTACAATAATTTTTCTTTTTACAGTATAGTTATGTATATTTTAGTTGTGTAATTTAGATTTGCAAATTTTTTTTATTACATGACTTCCGTATTCTGCTTCAACATTTTGCGTCTTGAAAATATCGCATCTTGGCCTAATTAAAAACACTTCCTCGAGAAATTGCATGTGCCCTAAATTATTTTGCATACCGAATTGTGAAGCGGCCAGAAGAACGTCACAACGCGAACATAGGAGAGACGTACTCGTCTAGCTTCAGTCGCTGGCGTCGCCGCCTCTGGCCCTCGCTTCTATCGTAGGTGTGTGTACTCATTAATAATTTATGTCCCAGTAACCGTTACGTGTACCGGACTCGCCGTGTCGTGGCTTTACCTACGTGAATGCCCCGGCGCGCATTGGTGTACACGAATTTCAGATGAGCATTTAAACTGAGCGTTCGTAATTTCTTTCCTCCAACCAAAGAAGGACGAACGCGAACCATGTTTGACCTCGTTTTTTTTTATTTTAGCAAAAAAACGAAATCTCCACCGTTCCGCCTGAGTATATATGTATAGTGCCGCATGTTCTACTTAACTTTTTCAAAAATCCAAAATATTTTAAAAAATTGTATTTGTATTATTTTAATAATCTATGGAAAAAGTGTGAAAGCAAACTTACATAATTTATAATAAATTCAATACTAACATTTTTTCACTTTATAATTAGAAAAGTAATGTACTATGCATGCTATTTAGCAAACTGATCATAAGTCAGCATAAAAATACTAATAGATAGACTGTAAATGTAAAATAATCATGTAACATGTATATCGGCGCAAGTAAATCTAATACGAAGTTGAATTTGCGCTGTAAAGTTATAGCGAAAGTTTTAACATAAGTGCACATTAATATTTCGACAAAATTCGACATATGTACAAACACATATGTGACATGTAAATTGCGTTCTGAGAACAAAAAACAAGTAAAATAAAAATAATGTATTTTATACACTTTTTATAAAACGTACTTTCTTTTACACCAGCACAAAGTGCTTCATTGCAAGGTTTTTATAAAAATAATAATTTTTAAGATTAACAGACTAGAAGGAATTTGATTATGTAATACTTATAAAAGAAAAATACACGTAAGTAGATGGTTACATTTTTATTAACTATCGACAGTTCTATACAATCAAAGGATATTTATAATATTATTATTCAATAACCATCGCCATATTTTTTCATCCATGTAAGTTATGTGATAAAACTCATTTTTATGATTTGCTTTCTTGCTTTTACGCCTTTTTTTCTCGCTATTATCTTCCTCGCTATTATCTTCCTCGCTTTCATCTTTCTCATTATCGTCTTTCTCGCCTTCGTCTTTCTCTTCATTTGAATCGTGTCTGACTCTTTATTTAAGTCATCTTCAGACAAAACTGCTGTTACTGTGACCATCATAATCATTGCAAAGATAAAAATTGAGCTTTATCTGTAAATAAATACATTAAAAATCAATAATAATTATAAAATGAAAAATGCAAGATGTTAAAATGACATAAACTTTGGAATATTAATTACATTGAACAATATTGACTTTCTGTCACAAGCATTGTGTTTAAAGATAAAGCTAATAATATTTTTCATGTATACTTTAAATATGTTTTTTTTTTTAATTTTTTTCCATCATACGAGATTGTTGAGTAACACGCTATTATAATTCTACAAAAATGTATTTTCCATACTAATATATAATCTGTTTATATTTATTTAAACAATGTATGACAGTAATTAATTTCCTTTTGTATTTTGTTTGAGAAAAACATTTTTCTCGCGTGTCCAATAAATCTGTCAAAGTGAAATTATGTATGCATAATTAATTTATTTTATTTGATCTGTTATACATTTAATCAATTGTGTTAATTATATTATAACTTTACAAAGGTGAAAAAATACGCCAAGTGTATAAAGAAGTATCGAAATTTATATCAATAAAGAAATTTCATATAAAAAATAAATATGAAATGTATATTATAAGCTTTATAATGGGCACTAAACGATTTATTATTGAAACAAGTATTTCTGTTGAGATCACATATAATATTCTCGACATCTTCAATATTATTTTTATTGAATATTTTTTATTATCCTCAATAATATATAAAATTTTAAACTATATGAATGACATGCTGGAGAAATGAGTACATTATCTATTTCTATGTACAGCATAGATTCTTTCATATTGACAAGATGATATTAAAAGATTTCTTCGTACTTGCGCGCATAGTTTTGCGTCCTTTGCATGCGTCTGCATACTTGGCGCACCGCGCTTTTACTTTAATACACCTCCGCCGCTCACGCACAAACGGCTCTTCGCACTTACCTCTTCGAGATTTGTTCGAGATCCTCTTAGCTCTCGAATAACGATCGCACGTAAGTGGAAGTCATGCGTGCACCCGATGGTCGTTGTAAGCGGAATCTCGAGAATCACTCGCGCCGTTTAAGCTCTTTTACCAAGCCATTGCGTGTATATATGCGATATCTTGTTCTTCTCTTTTCATTATTCAAACATTTATTTGCTCTTATCACTTGATATCACATTTCAAAGGAATTTATATTTCGATGCTTTTGGGTGCATAACGATAATTGTTTTGTTCACATTAATAATTGTAGTAATAAAATTCTCTTTTAATACAAGTATTAATTTGGAAAACTTTATTACATTTTTTAATATATTTTTCTCGGTTTTTATTTATTTACCGTTTATTCAGAATGAATATTTAAACGAATACAAAAGAAGAGTAAACATAAATTGCAAAATGAGAGAGGTGGCGATATTAATATTTATGTATAGATATTTTTCCACGCTGTGTATTTGTCAAGGAATGACGCGATGAAAACAAGTTCATTCCTACGTTTCTGGTATCGAGGTCATGAATCGATATCGTTTTTCGATCACGCGCGGACGTTTCTTTAGTAGAAACCGGAATATCACCTGCAGCTGACATCTTTCTCGCTCCATGCGAAAGTTCGCGGGGTAAGAAACCGAGGATGGGAATGGAAGACTTCCTTTTGCAGAAAAAGACTCGGTCCGCGCCGCGTTCTATCTTAAGACTCAAGGAAAAACGCGGGAAACTCATTGGGAGCCTGAAATTTTAATACTTCTTGGAAATTTCGCCGAGCTTCTAAGGCGGACTTTTCCAATCTGGCGAGTGTCAAATCAAGACTTGCAACTCGTTCGTTCGGATCTTTCGCGTGCATACTTCATGTACATCAATCTTTGAAGTTGAATGAATAAAGTGTACATTTTGAATTATAAGATTACAAATAAGAATTTTCCGAAAAGATTTGATAAAAAATATTTAGCGCGGAATATAATTTATTCACGTGTTATGTCAATTAATATAAAAATAAAAATCATAGATAAAAGTAAAGAAAAATAAGATGTAGAATGTTCTTCTCAGAAATTTAAAGTTCCTATTTAGCGGCCTTTAAAATCGTATCGTTCTGAAACAATGCATTCTGACGTACGACTCGCGTTGTGCGAAATACGCGATTTTTTTCACGGCGCGATCGCTCGATCGGTTGAAAGGGAGAAGCGCCCGGCGAATCGTTTTCCGCGAAGTTTTTCGCACGGTCGAGTAAAGTTGGCGTGGAAGGTGAACCCGGCAGGGAATCCTCTTTGTTCGAATTTAATCCCGGCTTTGTAACGTTGGCGGGGGGAAGGAAGCAGGGCAGAGAAACCTTCGGAGACTAAACTTCGACTTCGCCGTAGCGCGGCGGGTCGAGTCGAGAGCTCGAACTTTCCACCATTTCATTCCCTCTGTACGTTTTAATCTCTCAGCTCGCAAGGAATAATTATAGCGGTCGTTATAATCATATCTCATAGAATTCACCAACATCCGTATTTATACGCATTTACGACAACTTCAAATATAATTATGTCATAATTTCATCGCAAAAACGCTAATTCCAAAGTTGTAAAAGATTCTACGGCCGAGTTTAAACGGGGTTGAAGCAAGTATCCCGGTGCAGAGGTACATGCACACGAATATACATACATCGCTACGGAAACGCAGCATCGCGGAGCGAAGCAAAAAATTCTGTATTTCGCGAAAGGCAAGTTTATCTGCCTGTTCTCGAACGCCGCTGCGCGAGTTCGGCGTACGGTTAGGCAAACGTTTTCGGACAAAACTCGAGCGAGAAAGGAGGCGAAAATGCCCGTTGCAACAATACGGTTTACGTCGCGCGGATGCATACGCGCGCGTTTCCACGCGAAAACGTTTCCACAGCGAGGCCGTTTGTCTCCCCTCTTCAGCCCCCCCCCCCTCCTTCCGACCGCCCTCTCCCCCTAAAATCGAATGGCGAAGTAATTAATATAAAAACATAGCTGATGGGAAACCGTTTGTTGGGCCGTTAACGCGAGCGCCGCGCAGCTGTGCCGTGTTCGTCCGCGGCAAGAACTGATTTACAGAGTCGCGCGCATCTGCGAACGGGCGCGTTCTTTCATTTATTTTGTCCGTTCCTGTCTCTCTTCTTTCTCGCCCCGATAAATATTATCTCTGACGACTGCGTTTTTTTTTTTTTTTTTTTCGAACCGGCGTATAATGTGTCGCCCGAAACAAAATGGCCGATTGATAGATGGATGCAGAGACAAGTGTATTATGAGATACGAACGAACGAAGTCGTTGTAATTGGAGAATTGATCATATAATCTGTTGATGGAATGTGGACAGATGAAAACTAAGAATTCATGTGTGAATTTGCGAAATTCCTTTCTACAAGTTCCCATTGATTGCTCCGGCATCGATTCGATTACCGAGCTCTCTCGAACGAGCGCTACACATCACGAGCGCGAATTATCCGCAAAAGTAGTGGAAATTGATATGACGGTGCGACGATACATCCCGCCATCAATACGTAGTCAATCTAATGTTCGGACGCGAATATCATCATCGCTGCGCTTGATGACAATAATCACCGCGCGAGCTCGCGCACTCGGCGTCAGGGGTGCTTTGAATTCGAAACGTTTAGATGTATGATCGCGCGTTGTATAGTAGAAGCGTCCAGTTCGCGATTTTTTAGCGCGCGCGTTATCTGACGCACGTGATTTAAGCGATACAAAACAATATATAAAAATATACGCAGAGTCCAAAGTCCTTATTGCAAAATTTGCAGGTGTGCTCTATATTTCTAAATTAAAAAAGAAATAAAAAGATTCTAATAAACATGGATGTCAAAATTATTCCTTTTTGAGGTACAACCATTTTTCTGGAACAAATTTATATTATATAATGTATGTTGTATGTCGCGTGAAAATAACAATTATGATACACGAATATCTGAACACAATGTGCGTAGTTCGAATGCGATAAAAATAGAACTTTGTATGTTAATCCTGACGAGTGTACATGTCGTCCGCGACCACCGCATCGGGATCTGCTTTATGAAAGCAATTCCACGCGCATAGCTGTTCAATCAAGATATCGGGGCCGATTTCGCTCGATGATTACAGTGCCTACCGTATTTTGTTACGCGCAACGTAATTGATTATCATCCGGCCATAAATGCGCCCCGTCCTGTTTTAATTGTCCCGATTGCCGCTCTCTGCGGGAACAATTTTCATTTTTCACATTGCGTTGCGAACTAAAAATACAATCAGATAGAATGTCCCGAATTCATTATTGTTCCAATGGGACGTGTAAAACAACAATCGCGTATACCTTGAATAAGTTGCGACAAATTCAACTACTTAATGTTTATGTGTTATGTGTGTATTTAATGACGTCATAAATATTTTATTAATAAGTTTATTACGGGATTACTTTATAATCAGATATAAAAATTCGCCGCGTGCTTATCAATGCGCGAGAACTAACGAATTTTAGCTCGCCATAATTTATTAATAATGCCGTGTTATTATTTCTGACAAAAGCTCCGGCACGAATTTAGATATCTGAAAATGCTGTCTGCAGCCGAATTTGCAAAATATCGTTTCTACACGTTTAAGCCTTCCATTGGAGCGAGCAATTTTTTTGCGCGTCGCGTTGGAATTAATCCGGATATTTTTTTTTGCGTCGGCTACGAAAACGGGGATGCGGAAAATCGACCGAGTTACGTGTTCGATGCCTCGGGCGGAGCCGTCCGATGCATCGAGCTGCGGCGGGCTTGATTTTTGTCAAGTGCAACGACTGCAAACGCGAACCCTCGGGCGTTGAATTCTGCCGCGGTATTGGGAGGCTGTAGCCATCGCGATGTGTCCTTCCGACTCTATTAATAGTGATTTTATTACAGTGGAAAATTTAGCAAGCTGATACATTTTTGCTCTCGCATATACCTATGTAATCAAAAGAATAAAAAGCTCTTTGTCGAAAAATGTACAATCGATATAGTGCGTTAAGTGAGATAATGAAACCTCTGACTGAAACCTTTGAAAGAACAATGAGTTCGTTATAATACAGTTGTAAGATTTTTATCATTTATCGATGACCT